AGCTAGAGCAGGCAGCCTGGTCCTCTCCCGGCTACCCGGCCACCCCGCTCACACCAGCCCAGGCACCCTCCCTGGGGCATCCCTCCCCCTCCAGCTGCACAGTTGGGTGCATTCCAGCAGCAGCCTGCTCCTTGAAATCCTCTATCCATAGGCCACTCCAGGCCTTTCCTGTGCATTTGTGATTAGCACCTCTCCAGGTTGTCCTCTCCAGGTCTTTCATATTCTTCCCAGCCCACTTTTGCCCAAGGCCAGCTTCCCATGAGATGCAGTAGTTGTGGTTCCTAAGGCCCACAATATTTTTAGGGGCCAATAAAAATGCTTTAACTTCTTGTAAAATCTGAAGAGGAAAAAAAAAGAACCTTTAGGAAGAAGAAAATGTTTTGATATATGATATTAACATATTCATCTTTATAGCATCACAGTCATAATGTTAAAAAAAACTTTTTTAAAGCTGGTCATATGGCACACTTCTGTAATCCCAGCACTCAAGAGGCTGAGGCAGGAAAAAGCACCATGAGTTCTAGGCCTGCCTGGGCTACATAGTGAGACCCCATCTCAAAAAAAAGAAAAAAAGAACCCATGAAGGCAGAAGTGCCTAAGACCCACAAAAATCATAATGCGGGCCTAGTTTTGCTGAGGCCAGGCCCTGCTTTTCCCTATTTTCGGTCTTGTCATTTCTGGAGAGTTTGGTCCCAAAGGCTCAGCTTTGAGGTAACCGTGTCAAGGGCACAAAGCAATTGGAAAGGTCCTTCTTAGGTATCTGTCCCTTCTACCCCACACACATCCCTACACAACTTTAGTCAGTTTTGCTATGTGGGAAGTCTGTCATCACTTTTTGACTTAGTGTTTTTGGTTTTTGGTTTTTGGTTTGTTGTTAAGACAAGGTCTTGCTGGCCTTGAACTTGCTAGGTAGCCCAGGTTGGCCTGGGACTGGCTGCAATCCTCCTGCTTCAGCCTCCTGCGAGATGAGATTAAGGTGAGTGCCACTGTTACAACTGAGTGGACCAAAAGTACTCCAGGTTCTCGGCAGGACAAGGAAAGAATTGCCAAGCGCACCTGGTAGTGTGTAGTAAGTAGCTACGTTTATTGAAGATCACAGGACCAGGGCAGTAGGAACAGGGAGAAAGGCGAAAAGAAAAGCAGGGCGAAGGGAAAAGCGGGATGCAACTCAGGCGTCCAGTATCCATAGGGTCAGACACCTCACATGCCAGATGCCTCCCACGGTCTTACCTCAGCAATCTGCCGCCTTGGGCTTCGCGACCTCCTAAACTGAAACCCAGGGAATCATTTAGGGTGGTCCCACATTCACACCGGATAATCAAGACAATCATTAGGACTGTGTGGCGTTTACAGTTGAAGGGAAGGGAGTGACCCAGCGCCTTTGTTTCTAACTGTTCTGCCACCACACTTGGTGCTTTTCGATGAGTGCGTTTGCTTCCCACCCCAGCAGTTCCCTCGGATCTTGCCACCTTTTCCACCGCAGCTGACCGCCCAGTTCTCCGCCCGCCTCGGAAGTCGGGGGTGGGGGGGGGGACCCTAGGCCCCGCCCGGCTCCCTGCGCTCGACCCCTTGGAGGAAGCGGCCGGCGCGGCGCCCTCCCTCCCCCGTCAGTTTTCTTACGAAAAGCTGAGGCCGAGAATTCCCAGAAGGTCCCGGACGTGAAGTCACTGGCTTGAGGTCACCGAGCCCGGTTCCAGGAACCCGAGAGTTCCGGGGGAGGCGGCGCAGCCCCGGGGCCGCGGGCTGGGTCCGACACCGCCGATTCCGGGGAAGCGATGCCGCCCGCCCGCGCCCGGAGGTGCAGGCGGACCCCGCCGGAGCGGCCGCGGGAGTGATCCCCTCGTCGCCCGGAAGACAGAACCTCCGGGGTCTCGAGTTGAACGCGTTGCAGATGTGATCAGAATCTTAAATGAGCGTGCCCTTTGCCCTCACACCTGCACCTCTGAGAACGTGTTCGGGGGACCCAAATACGTAGATGCAGACGTGGCTCTGAGGAGCGCTGTTCGAAACAGCAAAGACCGGAACCCACCTGCAGTCCCGCGGAAGGGAACCAGCTTACACGAGAGGACGGTGCATGGCTCTGGGATGCACGCCCGTGGAGGCAGCTCTTTAGGGGCCCAGCGTCCACAAACACTCTAGTGAACAAGACCCACCGGCGCGCTCCGACTCCCGCGCTCTCCGGCAGCCAGTTTCTCCAGGTGTCCAGATAGCAGGAGCCTAAGATGCGGTGACCTGCAGCTAGAGTCCGCTCTCTCATCTTAGTCTCTTAACTGTTGTTTGCTTGCTTGCTTTTGGAGACAGGGTCTCGCTCTGTAGTCCGCTCTGTAGGCTGGCCTCGAACTCCCGGTGATCCTCCTGCCTCAGCTTCCCAAGTGCTGGAATTACAGGCTGCCCGGCCACGCTCGGCTTTCTTAGCAGTTTTTAAAGGTGTATATTTATTCAACAAATGTATATCGCCCAGTTTGCAATTAGACATCCTGAATAAAACAAAAGCACTGATTCCCACAGCAGGGGGTGGCGTGGGGTAAACAAAATGCACCCCCTTACTAAATTCTGTGGAGGAGAAGGGAAGGCCTGTGGAACAAGCTGGCATTTGACCAGAAACCAGAAGGAGGTCCCGTGAGTATGTGACAGGCTTTTATGTGGCCTCAGGAGACTAGAGCACCAGAGGGGCTAAAATCAAAGGAGCAAAGGGCAGAGAGGCAAAGGAAGCTGGTGAGGGAGAGGAGGTGGCTGGAGGCCAGGTAGACCTGGGAGGCCCCTGTGGGGCTTGGGCTTTTATAGGCAGTTGGGAGGGTCCTCGGGAAACAAGCGACAGGCCAAGACTTAGGTTGTAAGTGATCCCTCTGGCTGATGAGCGGAGAGAAGTCCAGCAGACCAGGTGGGACCAGGGAGCGCAGCAGGAGGCTGCGCAGTGAGCCCTGTGCTAGAGGCGGGCGGCTGGGCCGAGTGTAGGAGACGGGAGCCGCCATCTGCTCCTGGGTCTATTGGAACGGTAGAGGTGACAGAATTTGCTGTTGGGGTCGGGGTGTGGCAAGCACCCGACCCTGGGTTTGCTCCCCTTACTGAAAACAAACAAACCCCCCCAGAAGGAAGGTGCTGATGGGTAGACCAGATGCGGGTGTGACAGGAAGCGGAGTCTAGGAACTGTAACTGAGGTGTGGAGTTGTCCTTTGCCGGGATAGGAAAGACAGTGGGGGTAGGCGTTTTAAAGACTGGGGTAAAGACTCCGAGCTTCTCATGCGCCAGGAGTCCAGAGGTGAGGGAAAGGCGGAGCTGTTTGGAATTTGTAGTTGAGAGGTCTCAGGGAGAACAGCCGGCACGCTTGAACTGAGAAACACGAGTAGGGTTCCCTAAAGGGGTCTTTAGGAGTGCAGCAGGTTGCAGAGAAGCTGAGCTGACCTGCGGGACCTGGGCACGGTGGCTGCGCTTCCCCAGTTCTGGAAGCGAACATTGGGGTTCTGCCACCACACAAAAACAAGTCCTTCCCCAGTTCTGGAAGCGAACATTGCTGGAACCTGTAGACAGATACAGGAGAGGACGACATTCAAACTTAAAGTGATTTCATCCAAGAAAGAAAATCCGTGGTTTTTTTGATATACAAATTTGGATGGGGCCAACTGACAGGCTCTGAGGCTGCTGGCGGAAGAATGCGGCCACTCTGTATCTTCACAGGGAGTGAGGGTGCTGAGCTCACTCTCCTCCCGCTAGAAGGCACCCGGGAGCCGGAGGCCAAGGAGCCCACTAATGGAGCTGCACAGGGCGAGCGGGGCCAGGCATCTGGAGCTCCACAGGTGAGATGCAGGGCCAGCAGTGAAGAGGGCTCCAAAGCCACAGGCTGAAGAAGGAACTCTTACTGCAGGCAGAAAGGGGGAGCAGGTAAGACGGGCATGGTGGCAGGAGGCTGAGGCAGGAGGATGGTACTTGGAGCCCAGCCTGGGCAACTCAGTGAGGCCCTGTCTCTAATGAAAGACAGAATGAAAGGAAGGGAGGGTGAGCAGGAGAAGTAGCTCAGTGCCAAGCCCCTGGGTTCAGTCCTCAGTACTGGAAAAAGGAAGAGAGAAGAAGGAAGGGAAAAGAAAAGAAAACTGGAGGGAGTAAGAGGCCACTGCCCTGGAGAACCCCAGTGTTTAGAGACTGAAAGAGGAAACAGAGCCAAGAAAGCATCCTTCAAAGAAGCAGTGAGTCAGGAGAACAGAGCCAGGCCTTCAGGAGGCCAGCTGTTCAGTGGGAGAGAGGGAGAGAGGGAGCTGGGGCCCTGGAGGGTGCCTGTGCCTGGGTGTGGGTGTGAATAATGCTCATAGAGCAGATCTGGAAAGTGACCCCAGAAACACTATTAATAGTGCCTCACAGCGGGGGAGTAGGATGCACACCTGCGATCTGGAGGACTGCTCAGGCAGGAGGATCTCAAGTTCAAACCCAGACAGGCAATTTAGCAAGATCCTGTTTCAAAGTAAAAGCAAGGCGTGGTGGTGCATGCTTGTAATCACAGCACTTGGGAGGCTGAGGCAGGAGGATTGTTGTGAGTTTCAGACCAGCTTGGGCTACAAAGTGAGCTCAAGGCCAGCCTGAACTGCATAGTGAGACCCTGTCTCAAAAAAGAAAAAAAAAAAAAATCCCAAAATAAAAATGAGGGCTAAGGATGTAGTTCAGAGAAAGGCCTGGGTTCAATCCCAGTACTAAGAAAAAAAGAAGAAGAAAAAAAACAGTGTCTCTAGCAGACAGACCTAGGAGTAAACACAAGAGACCTAGTAAACAGAAGGTTGTTTTTTGTTTTTTTTCCGGTACCGGGAATCAAACTCACGACGTTGCGCTTGTCAGACAGGCGCTGTGCCACTGAGCTAAATCCCCAGCCCCCTAGTAAACAGCAGGAAGAAGACCAAACTTCATTTCTTCCATTTTGGATGTATTTAATCATATATATATATATATTTATATATATATTTATATATATATATTTATCAAAAGGAATAAAATATGGTTTAAAGAAAATACTCTCTCCCAAGACAAGCAAGAGGTCATTTGCTGGTGCTGCCAACTGAACCCGTGCCTTGTGCGAGCAGAGCTTGAGTTTTCTCTCATCTACCGGGATCCCCTGCAAGCTCAGAAGAGGGGCAGCTGGAGAAGGTCCCTGTCACTTCAGCTGGGGATTACTGAACTCGAGGAGCAGGTTCCAATTCTATGCTACCCGATGATGTGATTCCCATCTGTTACGTCCCACCCATCCCCAAAACACCAGGAAAGCTTAATCCTTCGCATTTTAGTACCTTCTCAATAAGTGTAGCTAAGGGAGGGAATGGGCAAAAAAGAGGAAGCAAGTGTATCATGTATAGGTACAGCTTCTCTATGATGAATATGATCATTATGTATATCTAAAATGTACCAGTAAAATAAAATGCTAAGTAAATAAATAATTGTACATGTCACGCTTTTTATTTTATTTTATTTTATTTTTATTTTTTGGGTTTTTTCTGGTGCCGGGAATCAAACTCACAACCTCGCGCTTGCCAGGCAGGCGCTGTGCTACTGAGGTATATCCCCAGCCCAAAACCTAATTATTATTATTATTATTATTTTTTTTTATGTCTTTTTGAGACAGGGTCTTGCTATGCAGTTCAGGCTGGCCTTGAGCTCACTTTGTAGCCCAGGCTGGTCTCGAACTCAGAACGATCCTCCTGCCTCAGCCTCCTAAGTGCTGGGATTACAGGCATGCGCTACCACGCCCGGCCTATGTCACCCTTTTTAGTGTTTCAGTCTTCTATGTCAAAAATGAATCCACCTCTAGGTTTAGATGATGTTACCTTAGAAGAGAATGATTCTTCAAAATTATTTTTCTGCAGAAGCTGTATCTTGGAGAAAGTGTATCTTTTCCAGGTGTGGTAACACCCGCATCTGTAATCCCAGCACTCCAGTGACTGAGGCAACAGGATCGCTGTGAGTTTGAGGCCAGCCTGGGCTACATAGTAAATTCATTTTTTTTTTTTTTTTCCTTGTCTTTTTTGAGACAGGGTTTCACTATGCAATTCAGGCTGGCCTTAAGCTCACTTCGTAGCCCAGGCTGGCCTCGAACTCACAACGATCCTCCTGTCTCAGCCTCCCGAGTGCTGGGATTACAGGCGTGCGCCACCACGCCCGGCTTACATAGTAAGTTCAAGCCTAACCTACACAGTGAGATTCTGTTTCAACAAAACTAACTGAATAAATAATAAATAAAGTGTATCTTCCTTACAGAGCACAAAAGCCTTTGAAATTTCTTTGTTTCCTTTGAAATTTTTGTTGTGTTTGTTTTTCAGTTAACAATCAGCTCCAGATTTGTGGAAATTATTTGGAAAATGTACAGGGACTTTTACTTCCATTGCAGGTCCCAAAGACAGGAACTCCAGTAAGATACCCAGGGGAAGCAGCCACTCACGAGCCACAAGCCAACTGCGAGAGGCACCTGGCCAACAGCTGGAAGGATAGGAAGGCGGTGGAAGGTTGTAGGAGGTAGTTTCAGAAAACTCCTCCCATGGCTGCCTCCTTTGGTTGTATGTGTTGGGTGGGGAGATTCCTAATCTAACAGAGTTGATACTTTTCTCCATAAAGGTTTCCCAAAAGGGAAGAGCTAGAGAGGACAGGGAGCCACCAGTCCACCTCCTGTTGGAGCCGGACATGCTAAGATCAGTCTGGACCCCATTTCCCTTTCTGCCTCAGTCCTGGTGAAAAGAAGCTCCACAACAGGGAGTCTGCAGGGCTTGGTGGTGTACACCTGAATCCCAGCACTTTGGAGGCTGAGGCAGGAGGATCATTGTGACTTCAAGACCAGCCTGGGCTATAAAATGAGCTCAAGGCCAGCCTGAACTGCATAGCGAGACCCTGTCTCAAAAAGCGCCCCCCCAAAGATATATAGATAGATAGATATAGATATAGATAGACATAATCCTGTAACATATTTAGCACAATGTTTGGCTCCCAGTAAGTAATCAGGACACTTTAGTATAGTTCCAATTTTCTGTTGCTGCATAACAGACCAATCTCGAATTTTAGTATTTTAAATACATTTGTCTTGCCTATGAATCTATAATTTTGGTGGAACTGGATGAAGACACCTCATACCTGGAAGGATATGAGAGCTAGATGTTAGACTCCTGTGAAATCATGTTCACTCCTGTATGTGGCCACTGATGCTGGCTGTCAACTAGAGCTCCTGATCAGAACCCCTACGTGGCTTCCCCATGGTAACCCCCAGTTCCTCTCAGTATGGTGGCTGGGCTTCAGGGGTGAGTTTCCCAAGAAAAAGCTAGGTAGGCAGTAGTTACAGCACCATTTCTAACTTTGCCTTGGAAATCACACAGT